TCTTGATTTTTGTTCTGTTTACTGAATGACGGAGTTGCTCTTTTGCTGTCTTGTGTAGGTGTTGTGGCGTTTTGTATGCCATCTGAATAAACAAAATTACATGTACTTCACTTTCTGATCTCATCATTGATGTTTAATTTTAATGTTTGAATCCCATAAAACCTTGAATTGTCATAGCTGAAAAAGATATGAATTTCACCATTCCATAGCTAGTATTGAATATATCTTTATTCAGGTATATTCACGTAGTTTTTCTAAATTCCCATCCAATAATTGCATGCAGTTAACCACATTCGTGTTGACTGGGTGAGTAATGGTGACAAACAGGTGTAATCCTTTTACACAGTTGATAATACTGCAGCCTTTGTTCATGGGTCTCTGGCTAAGGTGTAGGTGTAGACTTCAAGAAACTGTGATTGCAAACCATTGTTGAATTATGTAACTTGTGGACTTATACATAAAAGTTAGGTATTTCTATAATTCTATCTCTCTTGATTTTCACTCTCTTATTTCTATGGACTTCGTCTCTCTTGTTTTGATTCTCAACCCCAGCAGCCGTACATAGCCACAGAGAATTAGAAGCCGGCCAGTGATTTTATGCGATTACAAACGCTAATGTGATTAAAAATTTTGTTTGTTAGTTCACTTGCGTTCATTACTGTTCCTTTGCTGTCCATGTTTAATTTATTATTCGTTTAACAATCCAGAACCTGCATTTTTGCAGAAACTTTTTACTTTACTGTTGGACATCGTTAGCGCCTGACTACCATAAATGTTTGACGATAGCTTCTATAATATCATGGGGGGCGTGAGAAACTGACTTTATTGTAATTTTTTTATTCTAGCTGAGTTCTTAAATACAATATAAATAATAAGTTGTTTGCATTACTATACACAAGGTTTTGCAAATGTGGAAACATTAGTTTCACTTAGTCATTCACAGGTCATGTCCCAAGCAGCCATTGCACATTATAAATGCTGGGATTTTTTCAACATCCTGCTTAGATACGAATAACAGCTAATAACAAAATATAACTTTCCCTAGTTCTCAAAATAGGTTGGGCAAAATACACACTGCACTAGTAAAGACTATCACACCCAATAACAGAAATGGGTGGGAAAGACCGATGTTAACGAGCTGTATGAGCAATAAAAGTTGTAATTTGTCTTTGGTGATCGCATTATTCATAACTCTATAAATCTACTTTTCCCATCTTAAAAACACCTGATGTAATTATATAAATCTATTTATCTACCAAATCTTCAGATGTTGGCAGTTTAACATGATGTTCATCTCTTAGGAACTTACTTTTTCTCATAACTTCGTAGTTTACTCTTAATATTAGTTTTATGCAAAGTTAACGTTAAATTTTAATTTTTATGTGATTAGTGACTGATCAATTACGTAATTAAATTCACAGTGTATTTATATCTATGAGATTACCAGTATAGCGTGCTCGCCTTTATCATAATGGCCCCTAAAATCAATAAAATGCACCTTGTAATAGTGTCACGTAATACTGGGCTAGAAACTGCTCAAAAAACGAATATCAAGCCGCACTGCGATGTCCACGTGATATTATTGTTTGAGTTTATTGAGATATTCTCGTGAGGATTCTTGTTTAGCCTTAGTTTCTTTCCTTGGAGATTATTAGAATATGTAGTTAAGTTGACATAATAATGTTCACGTAATTTGAAATACATATATATACATATATGGCAGATTTTGTT